GACAGCACTTCAGGAAAGCTCACCCCCTGCACCCCGAAAAGCTCCTCTTTCTCTGCGGAGAAGGAGAGAAGAGGGAGGGAGAGGGTGGGGGGAGGGTAGAGGACTTGAGAGATGAGTGTGAGGGGTTGTTGCAGGGAACATGGGGGAAATAACTAACTCTAATGTAGTACTTGTCTAGAGGCACTGAGGGCCCGGCACATGTCTTCTCACCCTGATACCACAAATAGTCAGCTCAGTTGGTTGTTCCAGGTATGTGACCAAAGCGGGGAAGGGCTGGAGCTTCCCCCGCTCACTTCATGTCATATGGCTAGAGAGCTTTGTTAAATGGAGGAGACTAGAATCACGAGTTGGAATGTCTTAATCCACAGAAAGTCTCCCCCTTCATGTTTGAGGGAGAGTGCGACAGGGACTGAAGGGGAAAGACAGGTAACGAGAATCTGTTGAAACAGGAGACTCACCACTGAGAAAAAGGATAATGGTTGTTTCCCCCCCCCAATAGAAAGTGAGTTATCAAATTTAGCAATTTCTCTGAGAGAAAACCCACCTCTTCCCCTTCCCTCACCCCTCCCCTTCCTGGCTTTGCAAGCACGCATTCCCATGGTGTCTCTTATAAATTTAGTTTATAGCTCCCTGAGCCCAGCCTCCCTTTATTATACCACTTTACTGCTTCTTTGGGGCTGAGACTCTAAAATTTGGGTCAAACGTCCCATTAAGTTAACCACTTTCGAATACCAATAGCCCTCCCACAGCACTTTTCATCTTCATAGTGTTGCACCAGCGTCTCCTTCTTCACTAATGAAGATGAGTCGAATATCTATAGCGTCTAAAACCAAAGCTATTTAATCATTGTCTGATGTAGGAAAGTGTGAAAAATGCAAGACCAACAAAAAAGTATATTACACTGCAAACTTGCTGATTCCAACTTTTAAAAAAATTCTTTGAACATGCAGGCAAAACTCAGACCATGAAATCCCAGCCTTTGTAATAAAAGTGACCACAGTCAGCTCCCAGGTCCTCCCGTCAGACAGCCGCTTCTTCTAGTGCAGCACCAGCCGCATTCCCGAGGCACCATGGTGAAAGTGAAGGTCAGAGTAAATGGCTTTGGTCACATTGGGCCTGTGGTCAACAGGGCTGCTTTCATCTCTGGCAAAGTGGATACTGTCACCATCAATGACCCCTTCATTGACCTCAACTACATGGTCTACATGTTCCAGTATGATTCTATCCATGGAAAATTCCATGGCCCAGTCAAGGCTGAGAATGGGAAGCTTGTCATCAATGGAAATCCCATAACCATCTTCCAGGAACAAGATTCCACCAAAATCAAATGGGGAGAGGCAGGTGCTGAGTATGTTGTGGAGTCCACTGGTGTCTTCACTATGGAGAAAGCTGGGGCTCACGTACGGGGGGAGCCAAAAGGGTCATTATCTCTGCCCCTCCTGCTGATGCCCCCATGTTTGTGATGGGTGTGAACCACGAGAAGTATGAAAACAGCCTCAGCATTGTCAGCAATGCCTCCTGCACCACCAACTGCTTAGCCCCCTTGGCTAAGGTCATCCATGACAATTCTGGCATTGTGGAGGGACTCATCACCACAGTCCACGCCATCACTGCCACCCAGAAGACTGTGGATGGCCCCTCTGAGAAGTTGTGGCATGATGGTCCTGGTTCTCTCCAGAACATCATCCCTGACTCAGCTGGTGCAGCCAAGGCTGTGGGCAAGGTCATCCCTGAGCTGAATGGGAAGCTCACTGGCATGGCTTTCCGTGTCCCCACTTCCACCTGCCATCTGGAGAAGGCTGCCAAATACAATGATGTCAAGAAGGTGGTGAAGCAGGCGTCAGAGGGCCCCCTCAAGGGCATCCTGGGTTACACCGAGTGCCAGGTCATCTCCTCTGACTTTGACAGTGACACCTATTCTTCACTGGAGCTGGCATTGCCCTTAATGACCACTTTGTCAAACTCATTGCCTGATATGATAATGAATTTGGCTACAGCAACAGGGTGGTGGATTTTATGGCCCACTGGCCTCTGAGGAATAAGAACCCCAAGACTACCAGCCCCAGACAGAGCATGAGAGGAAGAGAAAGGCCCTTGGCTAGGGTGACCAGATTCTAACATCTGTAAGGTGGGACAACATGGGGGGGCAGGGGCGGGGCAAGGGACGGTGCAGGGCAGGGGAAGGCTCAGGGCAGGGCCTGACAACAAGGCAAACTTTGATATGCAGTTCTAGATAATCACTTCTCAGCAATTATTTATTACAGTTTAACATTATAAAATTAACAAAAATAATATAAAACTCATATTCTGGTGAAATAGCCATGTGGCAGCCAAAAACCATATATTCCCTTCTTGTTCTCCAGCCTGTTTGTGCATTCTTTCCAAAAATCGGAACTTTTTTAAAACGCCGCGGGACACGGGACAAATTATTGAAAAGCAGGACTGTCCCACCAAAATCGGGACGCCTGGTCACCCTACCTTAGCTGCTGGGGTGCCCCTGCCTACTCAGTCCCCCACCTCATTGAGAATCTCCCCTCTACACAGTTTCCAGTTTTCCAGATTCTCACTGAGACTCTCCCCTTGACCAGACTCCCTAAAGAATGGGAGGGGCTTAGAAGCCCCACCTTGTCATGTAACATCAATAAAGTTCCCTGAATTCAAAAAAAGAAGAAGAAGAAGAAGAAGAAGAAGAAGAAGAAGAAGTGACCCCAACCATAGCCACATCTCAGTGTTTTTAGTTCTTCATATTTCACAGAGTGCTTTTCAGTACCTGGCTTCAGCTAATGTTTTTGAACACCTATAAGAAGAAAGGGGTTATCATCCCCATATTTTAGACAAGGCTCATCCTGATTAACATGCTCAAGTTTCAAGTTACCAAATATTTGTGCTAGGACCAGAACCCCGGACTTCAGGCTCCAAGTCAGAAGTACTTTGTTCCCCACCTGGCCTGTGCTCTGTGGGAACTGGAGGTTCCACTGGCACCCCTCAAAGGCTTCTGGAAAGGAAAGATGAAGGGATGAGGCACGAGTGCACATTTTACCTCTTCCTCCAGCAGCATGTTGCCCTTGGAGCTTCCGTGTGGATTTCCCAGTGCAATCTCCTAGCACAGAGCATGCAACATCTCTGTTTTTCATGACCCAGCTAGACTGCAAGCTGCATTCCACTATTATGCTCCACAGGCCCACAAAGCTCCAGTCTGGCAGAGGCAGTTGTATACTATAATCTCCTTTGCCATCCCCCAACCCTGCATCCCTAACACAAACTAGCTGTTCTAGGCCAGGGGAGCCTTTGTATGGACCAACTCTCCCTTGACTCCCTTTTCTTCCATTTGAAACATACTTAGTGTGTTTCTTCCTTTGCAACTGGCCATTTTCCCCTTTGCAGGTCTCTTTGATACATGAACTTGTACACACACAACACCAATCTGGGCTCTCTGGTCACCAAGAGAGTGAGCTGATTGCTGGTGGTGAGAGATTGCTGGTGTCTACCACATCAGTGTGTGCCCAGGATTGTTGAAGACCAAACGCTCTCGTTCTCAGTTTTGATTCTTTCTCTTCTTTGATCACAGTCTTCCTCTGTGTTCTTCCTTCTCACTCCCACTCTTCATTTTCCCTCTCCTTAGTCTTTCTGTGAGCCTAAAACAACGAAACTATGGCAGAGAGGGATAATGCCAGTTTCCTAGTATCAAAAAAATCGAAGCTATCACTTCTGAAGGAAAATTAAGCAAAGATAAATATCCAGTACCAAGTGACTACATTTTTTAAAGTGCCTTTACATCCAGAATAATCACAAGTCTTCAAATGCTTGTTATTGACAAACATGCCTTGAAAACCCTTTTCTCTTCCTTCAAAATTCAGCCCAAATGTCACCTCCTACACATTCTTTGCTGATGTCTCTGGTCAGTCTTCATCACCACTTCCCATGTCTATTCCAGAGCCTTGAACACATCTTTACTATAGCATTCACATATTCTATTGATTGTTTAATGTCTTGCTGAACTAAGAGTTGGTTTTTGTTTTGTCCTTCATACAGCAGGCTACAGATTCCCAGCTTTTTGTAGCTATGATCACCCTGGCTTCCAGAAAAAAACAAAGCTCATTCTTAATCATTTTTTACTCTATTTTTAGAATAGATTGTTTTCTATTACTCTTGGCTGAAATTTAAAATATGTATGTTTAAAGAGCATGATGTGCTCAGAAAATATCAAATAGTCACAATGATTGGGGATTGTATTTAAAAATAAACCTTTGACTTCATAAAATAAAATATATATTTTCAGCTGCTTTACGAGCTGTATAGATGTTGCTGACAACTTAAGAATCTTAATTCAATTTATAAATTATTTTTATGTAAAAACATATTTCATGTTTTAAAATGGTCAAACATACAAAAGAAAATAGTGGACATTTGTCCATAACTAAACATCTATTACATTTCTCTCTTTCTTTCTTTCTCTCCCTCTCTCCTGGCCCTCTCTTCCCTGATGTCTGCTCTGTCTCTGTGCCCAGAGCTTCACCTCATTTAGAGAATTCATTCTCATTCTCTCCTTTCTCCCAGGGTTTACAGTTTGGTTTTCTGTTGTGTGTCCTTGAGGCCTACCTTGAACCCATCATTTATGAATGTTCCCCCATTGAATCTGTTGTCAAAGGATGAGCACTGTGCTGATTTTTCACGATGGAATTTCAAAGCCATGGGGATATGTTGGTTCCATGTAGGAACAGATCCTAGTTCCTCATCATTTGCCATCTGAGCTCAAAGAGGACAATGTCCAATTTTCAGCCTTCACACTCTTTTCTCCCAGACTTCCATCTTCTATTCTTGTCTCCAGAGATGAAGAGAAATGAGATAATCATGCCAACAAAGCCTCCTTTTTCATCTTTATTGCTCTGTCTGGGTGCTTCATTATGAGATGTCAATTATTCAATACTCTAAAGCGCTGTCTTCTGAGCACAAAATGTTTTAGTTGTGTGGGATGAAAAGTGCTTGTTTTCTGTTTTTAGGCTACAGTGGTGGCTGTGTTGCCATGCGAGGAAGGTATCCACTTGGTCGCTGGGAAGTAAAGGACTGCAGACACTTTAAGGCAATGTCCGTGTGCAAACAGCCAGTTGAAACCCAGGAAAAAACTGAGCATGAAGAGAGATGGCCCTTTCACCCCTGCTATTTGGACTGGGAATCAGAGCCTGGTCTGGCCAGTTGCTTCAAGGTAACACCAAGGTTATATGGGCATGCTTAACAAGACAACACTATTTCAATTTGATCCGTGTGTCCTAAATTCCTTTCCTCCAGCACCTTTTCTTTTTCCAGAACAGTGCCTGGCAAACAGCAGGTGCTTAATCAGTATTTGTTGCCTGTCTCTATCCTTGCAGTTGCATTCCAAATAATTTTTAAGTTTAAAAAAAATGGCATGTTGTGGTGACATTGAAGAGTTTATCACCCAGATTGATATCTGTTAAGAAGAAATACCGTGTGCCAGTCTTAGTCCCTGGGCAGGGAACACCATGTACTGGTTATCAATCCTGGAGGAGGACTCCAACTCCCTGACCAGTTTCTGCTAAGGTTCCTAGCTCTGGCAGGAGGTTTTGTGCAAACTCAGCTGCTATGGTATGAATCTGGTAGGACAAAGCACTCACATGACAAGTCAGGCAAAGCAACTTTATTACAAGGTTGAGTATCCCTGATCCAAAATGCTCGAACCAGAAGTATTTCTTCCTGGCTGAGCATCACAAGTCTGAAAAGCTGAAATCTGAACTTCTCCAATGAGCATTTCCTTTGAATGTCATGTCCCTGCTGAGACAGTTTTAGATCTTGGAAGTGTTTTGGAGTTTAGAGTTTTAGATTAGGGATGTGCAACCTGTACAAGAAGCAGCAAGAGCCTAGGATCTGTGGTGAGCCAGACCCCCAAGGCTCAGGAAAGCTGCCCACGGAGGATGGAGTCTCGTCTGCACATGCCTCACCTCCCAGGACGGCCGAGAGATCCCAAAAGCTCTCCTCTCTGGGTCTTTGGGCTACAGCCTAGCAGGACATTCTGTTACAGGAGGGATGAGGACAGTTCCCCCTATCTTGGGATGTTGCATTCTCAGTACATTCTGCCTGAGAATACAAACGAGAGCTGAGTCAGCAAGGACCATCTGGGGACAGTGAGGTCCCAGTCAATATTGTCCTTATCATCAAACATATCCCAAATGAAGGAGACAGATGCTCACTGGGTATTATTGATAAAATGGTGCATTTGTTTAAGACAGTGAATGAATTCCTTATTAAATGGTAGAATTCTGCTAATAAAGGTAACTTTTGCAGCTTGCCAGACACCTGAAACAATGAAACAAATTAATACATACAGTTGATACATATGTGTATATATGTGTACATATATGTGTGTATACATTTGTGTGTATGTGTATTGGGGATGCCAAAAAATGTATGCACATTTTGAGAGATGATATTTTGTATTACTTTTTGAAATTGAATTGAATTATGGTAGCAATGTGTGTAGTATGAAATTCATACCACCTCTTGTAATTGCAGAAGTCAAATGTGACTTGTATTCATCTTTTTTTGTCAGTAATACACAATTTTATTTATTTTTTTATTTTTTGGAGACAGAGTCTCATTCTGATGGGCTATGTAAAGTGCAATGGAATCATATCTCACAGCAACCTCACGCTCTTGAGCTCAAGAAATCCTCTTGCCTCAGTTTTTCTATTTTTTAGAGATGGGGTCCTCACTCTTGCTCAGGCTGGTCTTAAACTTGTGAGCTCAAGCAATCCACTTGCCTTAGCCTCCCAGAGTGTTATGATTACAGATGTGAGCCATGACACTCGGCCTGAGTATTACAATTTAATACAATTTTTTCCTTTCATAAAATGTGTATACATTTTTTGGCACCCTCTGTATGTGTATATACTGTATGTGTGTATTTTATTTATATATATATATATAATCCTTTGTGTATATATATATATAAAAATCCCGTGTGTGTGTGTGTGTGTGTGTGTGTGTGTGTGTGTATAATCCATGAAGAAATGCCTATTTAAAAATCAGCTTTAGGTCCTATATTTATATCAGTTCCTGTAATTTTCTTATCAGATACATGTTTTTTGAAATATGATGTTTTTATGTTTGGTGGTTTTGTCTTGGTTCATTTTACAAATAGCATTTCAACAAATCTTGGGAGAAACTTTTCCATCAGCAGGGCACATGCAGAGCCGAACAAAGACAGACTCTGTCCAGAGCTGCTGCAGCTCGTGGATGGCGTGGAGCACCTGTGCACTCGGTTTAAATTGTACTCATGTACACTAAATTCACAGAATAACGGGCCCAAAAGTGACCTCACGAAGCAGTAAGTTAGACTTTAGAAATGAACAACCTGATGCCACTGAGATTTGCCCAAGATCACAATTATTTATTGACAGAGTTGGAATAAAACCCCAGTCTTGGGACTCCCGGTCTAGTGCTTTTTCTACCATATATCACCCTAATATGTCAACAGATGCATGGTGTGTGATGGGCATGGTGATAGGATTTATGAGTTTAGAATGATTCAAGAAGACATTCCCCGAGGAAGCGAGTTTTGACATATAATTTAGAAGATGGAAATGGTGTGCTGTGGCCCACAGGATTTAGAAAGCTATTCATTCTGGTCTCAGCAAATCAGAGTCTGGTGAAGGGTGGCCTCAGGTGTACCTGCCTGACATTAGAGGTTCAGGCTTAGTGCCAGGCAGTTAAAAATGAGAAAGGTGCAGAGGTCTAGGATCATGAGCTCTGGGTCTTCAGTCCCTCACCTGAAACTTAAAGCCAAAAACAAACTCTTCATTTGACTGAGTTCTTGCTGTTCCATGAGCACAGCTGAAAAATAGCAGAGAATTTAGACACAGCTGAACCATTGCACCTGCCAATTCAGCTAAGACCCAAAGACCCCCGAAATATACCCGCTCTAGGTCCCAGGTCTCATTCCTCAGTTCTTACCACCGGTCCACTAGATGCTAATACTAATTTGTCAGAAGGCAGTCTAGTAGGATGGAAAGTCACAGAGTCTGAGTCTAATCTTAACTCGGCCAGTTTGTAGCTGTGTAACCTAAAATTCTCCCTCTCTTAGACTGACTTTCCTCATCTCTTGACAAACATTGATTGAAGGACAAGTACAGGCAAGTCATGTCAGCTTAGGAGATTTAGGGTGGGAAAGTCTCAAGAAGCTCATTTATAAAACTGAGTTTGTCACGTCCTCCACAGGAATTTGTGGTGAGAAAAAACAAGCTAATAGTTTTGTATGACTAGGCACATTCTAGTTTGATAATGTTACATCTTCCCATAAGTCAAGCTTCTATTACATTCTCTTCTGAGCTGTTCTTTTCTTGAGGATAAGGAAATAGCCTCCCCTTCTCTGTGACAGTGTTAGTTTTCTTCCTTTACTATTCAGGTATTTCATAGTGAAAAAGTCCTGGGGAAAAGAACATGGAGAGAAGCTGAAGCATTTTGTGAAGAATTTGGAGCTCATCTTGCAAGCTTTGCCCATATCGAAGAAGAGAATTTTGTGAATGATCTCTTACATTCAAAATTTAATTGGTAAATATGTGTTAAGTTTTGAAAAATTACAGTCAAATGTTCCATCTCCTAGTAATGGCTTCTTAGGGGTGAGTATCCCAAGTAGTTTTTTTAAATTCCAGTATTTGTATTAAGCCTAAAGCCAACTGTACATAATTGTGAAAGAAAAAACATAGTTATATATATATATGTATGTGTGTGTGTATTTGTGTCTATACATAAATTGCACCAACTTTTCATTTCACAAAACAAAGAACAAAATGACAATTGTTTTTGATAGTTGAAAACTCTTCCATGTGACTCAATTCAGAATTTTAGAGCTTTGCTGCCAAACTCAATAATTATTCAGCCCAGTGATTTTCAAAGTGTTGTCTGAGGATCCGAGGCTCCTGGAACCTGAGGAGCAGGAGGCGGCCACAGGCAGAACTGGTTCCTTGCTCACTGACTTACCAGAATGCTTCACCTAGCTCCACTGATGATTATTATATATCTAATGGGAATCCATGTAAGATTTTGTTTGGGAAAAAAAATAGTCCCATTGATTTTTGTGTTTTAATTTCCAACCCGTCTCCCTAATTTTATATAAGCAGAAATAAGTGCGTATTTATCTGTGTCCATCTTGCAAGTTTACAGAATCTTGAATTCTGTGGAATTAGAAACTCAGCTAAGTTTAAACAGGAAGAAATCTTAAAGGTCTTATGCTACCTCCGGCCCTACACAGGAATTCCTCAACCACATTCCCATGGTCATCCACCGTCTGCCATAATCCTGGCCTGTCTCAGCAATCTCCTTACTTGAGAGAGAACCCATCCATTGTAGAAGGCTGGTTTTAATGAGGAACATTCTAGTAAACCAGAAATCTCCCTCCTTTCAGTTTGGAGCTAGAGCAGTTCAGATAAAAATTTGCTTTATTTTCAAATATTTGAAGACAACCATTAGGTCTCTTTGTTGAATCTTACCCCTCCAACACCTTGAACTCTCTTTCTAAAATGTTCTTATGAGTCACTGTATATTTGAGACTATCTTCTGTGTGAGGGGTACAGGTGCCTGCATAAGTGGCTGGAGCACCCAACAGACAGGCCAGATAGTATCCTGCCCCTGAGGACATGTGGTCTAAGGGCAGAACACCTCATGGCTGGATTCATGAATTTAGTGAGGACAAACATAATACCAGATACTCTCCTCCAAGGTCTGGAAATCTGGAGTCCCAATGGATCACTTGCCCGAATCCCAGAAAAAATCCAGGATGGCTTTTGAGGAAAATTTTGGCCTTCATTATAAGTTTCCTTGTAGGACATTCCTGTAAAAAGATTAATGTATAACATGTATCAAATTATCCATCTTCAGCATCTATAAAAATGACCATAAGGGTGAACGTTTTTGACACATTTCCCATTGTCAAGCTCCTGGATTATTCTATGGAGAAAAGGGGGCATTTTGTGTTTAATATATTTGCAAATTAATGGATAATCTTTGAAATTTGCCGTGCCTATGAGCATTGTAAAGGCTTAAAGGAGGAAGTGCTTTCTTTGGTCACAAAATTTTTTTTTTTTTGGAGAACACTTATTAACATCCTGCAAAACTGCTCATCCCCACAGGAAGTGCTGATACGAGACCAGGGTTCCAGAACCTGACTAATCTCCAAGGGAATGACCCTTTACATAGGCGCTTTCTGGTCTTGCCCTACAGCTGCTGAATCAGACTCTCTAGGACTGAAGAAAGGTCTACAAAGCTTCCTGGTTGGTTGGATTATTAGGCAGGTGTGAGGCCACAACTCTGAAGGAGAGGTGTCAGTCTTCATTGTCCTGAGTGTACTCGGCTTCACGATTTTAGCCCCTCACAACACATATTTGCATATTCTGTCCTGTGCTTTTTCTGAAATTTGTTGTACGACACAATCACACGCAAACTGCTTCCCAGTTTGCCATATTTGGTATTTTCAAATATCACGGTCATTTCTATTTACATAAATTCTCACATTTGAAGTCTCTAGTAGAAGTTAGAGCCAAGCATCTATAAAATTATTGATCTTTGACATCTAATCGTGAAATCTGTATAATGGTGTTGTGCGTTCTGCCCAGAGTACTAGAGAATTCAGTCAAATCTGAGCTTAATTATAACATGTAGCAGATCTCGGAGTCAGCATGGGAGCTGCTGCTCCTTCCTATGGAACTGCTTTTCTTTTTCATTAACCAGACACACACACACACACACACACACACACACATGTATATACACTTAGGAAATTATATAATTTTAGGGAAAAGATATAAAAGAAAATAAATACTATTTAATCTTCTAGGAGCCAGTATATAGCAGGAAAAAATGTAGAAATCTGAATCCAAAGAGCAAAGAAATAAAAGGTGTGAGAGGGAGAGTAATGTGGGTTTTCAGCCTCTGCCATGGAGAATGAATGTGCCTGGCTTAACCTGAAGGCGGTCATTCCCACCTTCTCCCAACCTCAAATGCAAGGTGCCAACACAACAGTGACCAACCAGGCACTGGGGATCTTTCACATTTTCTAAGTTGCATTTGACTTTAATTTGTAACCTTCAAGCAGAGTAGCTCAAACACATGAGAAGGGATTCTTCAGAATAAGCTTGTTTCTCAGCACTAAGGAAAATAAAGCATCTGTCATGACTTCTGAATCTTTTAAATCTTTAATTCTTCAAAATTACTCTCAGAAAATTATCTTAGTGAGATGGTTCATTGTACAATTTGGCTTTATTGCTTGATTTATTGAGTAGTCTGTGGTTTGACACATTTGTACTCTGCCTAATAGGAAGGCAGATGATTCTCCGTGGAGCTTCTCGCCAAGTCTAAACCAGTGGTGACTGCTGAAGTTAATCTACCATGGCTCAGTCTGATTTGCTGTAGAATTATTTATCTTGGGATCTGAGGAGGGGGAAAGCCCCAAACCTACTATGCACCTTTTATTAAATGGGGATGGTGGTTAACTTTCAGAGAATACACGAACGTTTGACAAAAGAGCCACAAATCAAAGCATTGCAGGGTAGAAATAGCAAAGTAGTGAAGCTTCCTCTAGGGAAGAGATGTCCCAAGATTTCCACCAACTCGCTGTCATGTGCTCTGTGCTGAGTGAAAGGCACTGCCATCCCTGGTCGGGAACCCATGTTCTCAACATGGGCTGACTCTTCCCCAACTGTGCGTCACTGGTGAGAAAACCATACAAACCAGGAGAAAGAGAATGTGAGTCTAAATCTTCTCTCTGTTCATCTCGTTCATTTCATAGCACAGGATTTTGCATGTAAAAAAATGTTCAATAAACGTTTGTTGACTTGATCAATCCTGCCAGTAGCATCAGCTGTTTCCTGCATACATACATATTTTAAAAGATTTTTGAGCCTTTTACATGATGTCATAAATTCTATGAAAAAAGGCACGGTTTTTGTTTCTTCTCTTCCTAGGACAGAAGAAAGGCAGTTCTGGATTGGATTTAATAAAAGAAACCCACTGAGTGCTGGCTCCTGGGAGTGGTCTGACGGAACTCCTGTAAGTCTTGCCAAACTGGAGAAAAGTGATGAATTCAAAACAAGGGGCCCTGGAACCACTTGGTGAACCAACCAAGACAGGGTCAACGAGAAATCATGGCTGTATCTCCCATGGCAAAATGGCACCAGATCTTGGTACCAGGAGAATTCTTTTGGCAAGGTCTTAGGAAACTTTTGCTAGCCAGATAGTTCTAAAGGCCCTACACAATCTCATCCAAACGCTCAAAAAAGGTCCGCCCCATACCATATACCCAGGGAAGAGTCTCTGTGGCAGGGAAGCAGCTATTTTTAGAATAACACCAGTCTTCTAGTCTTCTTTCCCCCGTCTCCTGTCCTGTATGGTGCCTGATTATGTGAGCACAGGACCCTTGGGTTTGTCACAATGAAAAGGAGACTATTGTGGTGAATGGTTTTCACTTTATCTCACTCTAAAAGGACAGAAATGCAAGACTTAAAAATATTACCTCCTTCTCTGCCAGAGCAAGTAACTCCAAAAGGAAAAAGAGTGTTGCTTTTTATTTATCCTTACACTCGCAGACCTCTGTGAAGGAAAGAGAGAACTCACTATTGCAATGAAGAATTTTCACATTTTTCTCAAAATTCACAGGGAAAAAATGGAAGCTGTATCCCAGATTGAAACAGGATGCATCCTAGGGCACAGGCAAAATCAAGTTGTTCTGTTTTGTCCGTGAAATGGGGTCACTAGTAAGAACCTGTATGGGCGTTTAAGGCTGCTCCGGTTTATTGAGCTGTGCAATGTTGTGAAGGCCGAACTGAATGCATGATCTAATCCATCCTGACAATCACTTGGGGCCCTGGGCATTAGAATGACTAAGTAGTTGGCCTAAAATAATACCTAGGACAGCCAGAATTTGCGCACAGGTTGTCTTGACTCCAAAGCCACATGTTGTAATATCTCCCAGTTGCAAAGTAGCAGCAGCCTAACTTTGAAATAGGAAAGACCAAGAGAGAAATGCCCACTACATAGATGGTGTTCAAAATTGTAAGGAAGAGATTTCTGATGAAGCTATATGCTTCTAGTGGAAACTGAAATAATGATAAAGGCATACTAGTTAAAAAATAATAATAATAACATGTCTACTCCAATACGGCTTCTTTGAAACAGTATCAGCTTCAGAGAGCAGGACATGATCTTAAAGATCACTAAGCCCCATCCATCTGTTTTGCTGATGAAGAAACCTAGGCCCAGAAAACAGAAGAAATAGAGAAGAGTCAACTCAGCCCACAAATGGCAGCCACGGCATGGCACGGTTGGGTGGTTAAAGTCAGTGCAGCACTTGAAGAACAAAGTTGATATATAGAAGTTGAGAGCATTTCATTTTGTTTTAACAAAGCAAACTCATTAGTAATAAGAGAAGAATAGACAATGTGGTGCAGAATAAATGAGATAAGGCCATGAAGCAGTGGACTGAGTTCCTCACCACTCCTCATGCTATTCTTTGAACCTGAGGGTATATATTATATATGTTAGTTATATCAAAATTAGATGAATTATGGCATGGCTATGTACATGTTTGAGGAAGAATGTAAATGATTTCAAAATATCCTCTTTTTCCAAATTTTTACCCCAATTTCACTAGTAGTCCAGCCACTCTTCTGTCAGGTAGTCATTAAATAATTGAAAAGCTGAGTCTTTATTTCATACCCCTGCTGTATGAATCGTTTGGCACTCATGGAAAGTGTTGGCTAGTTTCCTGATTACTCTATTAGTCTATTCCTGTTAGCTAGGGCTAACAATTAGAGACTAAAAGCTTAGCAAATGTGTAAAATAATTGACATCATTGGTGATACCCAGATCTGACACATCCTTGATCCTCTGAGAAGTTTATCCAGGATTCCAAGGTGAGACTAAACCAGCCAGTTAGAAAACAGTGCAAGTGCAGAATGAAGCTTGCATCTGATTGGCTCCTTCTGGAGAAAGGGGTAGCATGCTTCTTTTAAAGAGATAGGATCTTTAAGAAAAAAATACTAAATACTGTTTGACTTGTTCTTCATGAATGTCCAACAAACTTTAACTGGAATGATAGCCAGACGTTTTCTGTGGCTCTCTCTAGAAGTCTATAGTGAATATGTACAGGAATGCCTTTTTTGATCTATTGGAACTTTTTGTGGGGGAATCATTGTTAAGGAATAACACACTTCATCTGCTGCAGGTTGTCTCTTCATTTTTAGACAATATTTATTTGGAAGAAGATGCAAGAAATTGTGCCGTGTTTAAGGCAAACAAAACCTTGCTGCCCTTGCACTGTGATTCCAAACGCGAGTGGATATGCAAAATTCCAAGAGGTAAAAATAGTAATTAGATTTTTACTATATGTTTGGCTTCTAAAAATCTATAGAACTTTCCCAAGTGAAGGGGTATGGGCACCTTAAAATTTAAGCACCGTGAACTACCATACCAGCAACCTGCTTGATGAACCACATTATACTATTTTGACAAAGAACGCATCATAAGGAAATGAGAAAACGTGACACTAATGCTGTATGCCAATCAGTTCATTAGGAATAAGGTAGCCAGCTAATATTGCAGAATACTTCATTGTGCAAGTAAAGTCTGAAAGAAATGTCACTCTGACTTTATAAGCAAACAGAATTACTTGTGAAAGGAGCAAGTGGAAGCACTGGGCCCCCAGCCAGTGTCTATGTCCTTCCTTCCTTAATCAAAGGCCTCTCAAGGGCCTCCTCTTCAAATATGAGTACTGATCATATATTCCAAACAGCCTAATGTACCTTTTTAAAAATGATTTTTAAAAAGATGAAATACAAAGTGATATGTTTAGAGATGAGGTAACTCAGAGACAATGCACTTGTGAAGAAACGTCAGTCAAGGTGATTTGCTTGCACTTGCAGATGTGAGACCCAAGATTCCATCCTGGTACCAGTATGGTAAGAGCAATCCTGGCTGTCCTTGACTTTCTGATTGTATGCCATATAAGTGCTTCTGCACACCTTACTGTATTACCACTGCCTCTATTGAGCCTCTCTCTTCTCGTGTCCACCTAGAAATAATCTGTTTAAATGAATGAGCACATTAATAAATGTGCCCATTAAATATAATTGAAGGCTAATATCTCTGATCATTTTTATGACATGTGATTTTAAAACGTGTCTATCCCTGACCTTTGTATACTAATGACGGTTTCTTGTATGAGGTAGTCCAAGAAAAATAAGCAAATTATGTATTCGTGTTCATATAGATATGAGAGTGTGTCTGTGTTCATGTGTGTGTGTATATAATTTTTTTTAAATGTTGAGTGGCTCAATTGCAAAATTGGGGTCAATTGTGGCATACCTTATTTAAGCTGCAGTCTACCTCATCAGTTTTGCCTTACTTGAATCGTTTATTTTTCTTTCAGATGCACCCTGGCTCTTCTATCAGGACTCAGAATACCTTTTTCACACCTATGCCTCAGAATGGTCTGCCTTTGAGTTTGTCTGTGGCTGGCTGCAGGGTGATCTTCTCACAATTCACTCTGCACACGAGCAGGAATTCATCTACAGCAAAATAAAAATGGTACTGAAACACTGAGCTCCATGAGAGACTCAGGCTTTAGCGCTGGCCTCTGTCCCTGGGGGTGTGGGGTTCATTTGACTTCAGACATTTACTAAGTTTCAATAGAAGCCATAGATGTTTGAGAATCATTATCCTTCCCGTTATAGAGACTAAGGGAAAATCACAGCCATACAGGTTTCCTGTGTTGCTCAGCCATTTCATTTCTCTTCCTTTTTTGCTAGTGACAACGGAGAGTAAGTAGAATTTTGTTGTTTTGTGAGGTTCATGTGCTCGTTCAACACACAGGTACTGAGTCCCTCCCAGGAACTAGAGTTCTATCAGTGACCAAAACACACCAAAATTCCTGCCCTCGTGGAGTTTATAATCTAGTCTGGGAAGAAAGACCATGATCAATACTAGTAAATAGATAGAATGACGTAATATGTGTTTATTAGAAAAAGATAAATGGATAAACACTGCGGTGGAAAATAAGGCTTAAATAAGGGACAGGAAGACCTCGGGCAGTTTCAAGGTTTCCAGTTTTACTAACGAGAGTATACTATTTTTATATTTGTAAAGACAACATACAAAAAATATCTGGAGTAGTTTTCCGTGTCAACTTAAAGTAGAGAAAAACTACTGAGTCCTTTGTGGAAGTAAGCTAATCCGAAGGGAGCAAACTAATCAGCAAGCAGTAGCGTACCTTAAAGCGTATCTCTTCGGTAAGCATTTATCAAGCATCAGGTGTGTAACAGACACTGTGATATTTCTCAAGGACACAAAAAATGTATGAGATACAGCCTGTGTTTTTTGTTTGTTTGTTTGTTTGTTTTTGTTGTTGTTGAGGCAGAGTCTCACCGTATACCCTAGCAGAGTGCAGTGGTGTTGCCATAGCTCACTGCAACCTCAGACTCGAGCTGTGGACATTCTGCTGCCTCAGCCTCCGAGTCGCTAGGATTATAGATGCACCATGCCTGCTGGCTTTTTTTTTTTTTTTTTTAATGGAGTCAGGGTCTTGCTCTTGCTCAGGCTGGTCTGGAACTCCTGAGTTCCTCCCACCTCAACTTCCCACAGTGTTCGGATTCCAGGTGTGAGCCATCTCGCCTGGCACAATCTGTGTTCTTAAAAAAATTGGATATGTATACTTCAGAGCATCTTGTCTTACACAATAAGTGCATACAATTTTATCTGTCAATTTTTTAATAAAAATTAAAAATCTGTAAATGATATGCTGCCGTGAGTCAAAAGGAACAGTAGGTACACATTTCCATGGGGGCACCACGGAGGAAAAATCTCTCTCCCAGCTTCCCTAGGAAACCTTTGAAACTGTGAGACAGCCATTTTCTCTCTCTGTAATCTGACCATATTTCTTGATATTCAGGAATCTTTACTAGAGCTATCATCTTTTATTTTTTTTTTTTTTTGAGACAGAGTCTCTCTCTGCTGCCCAAGCTAGAGTGCTATGATGTCAGCCAAGCTCACAGAAACCTCAAACTCCTGTGCTTAAGCGATCCCCTTGCCTCAGCCTTCCACGTAGATGGGACTAAGTCACCTACCACAATTCCTGGCTAGATTTTTCTATTTTTAGTAGAGATGGGATCTTGCCCTTGCTCAGGCTGGTCTTAAACTCCTGAGCTCAAGAGATCTACCCACCTTGGCCTTTCAGAGTGCTAGGATTACAGGCATGAGCCACCGCGCCTGGCTGGCTCTTTTCGTGTCTTTGTAAGTTGACTATTAAAATGAAGTCCTACATTAAAGTATCCTTGCCCTGTGGGAGAAATGTCTTCCTTCAAGCTCACGGGCGTTAGCATTTCTCTATCCTGTTTTTGCTCATATAGCTGTGGGCAGCTCAGGTCAGAGGTCAGATGACAAGCACATGACCCTGCTGACACTCAGTGGCAGAACCACCTCTGGATCCACCATCAGTTTGTATGCTATTTTGTCACTCTTCCACTCCTGCAACTGGAGCACTGGAGGAAAACCATAATGTATGTTCAATACTATCAAATTACATACTATGATGTCAGAAAATCCATGTTTCTTTGGCCAGACAGCAGACTCCTCACCTCAGACGACACCAACAAGAGATCAGATGAATGGCTAAAAACCAATCCAACAATATGCAAAATGTATATCCTTGAAAGTGCTGCCATTTGGCCAGTACTTACCATAACAGTGTTAGCATGGTGCTCAACATTACAAATGAAAGATTACAATTTCATCTTTTCAAGAATCTGGAAGTCTTTTACTTGAACATTTTACAGATGAGGAACCAAAGACTTCAAACAGGTTAAGCAACTTAGTTACATGGCATCTAAGGGGCAGAATTTAGAAGGAAACCCAGGCCTTAAAAACCCTACCCAGTGTTGCCTGCAACAGCAGAACAGCAGTATCCAGGGTATATAATGTCTTCATTACATTAAAATCTAGTTGCAGAATCCTTCCCCAAAAGATGGCCATCAGCTCCATCTCAGGCATAAACAACACAGAGCTTCATCAATTTTTCCAACAGAGCTTAGGTATCCTGGGAACTTCTGTAAGTCTTCTGTATTCACCTTTCTACTTAATTCATCTTCTAATCTCCAGTGGGGATGGTGGAGTTAATAACTCCCACAGAAGAACATAATGAAACTCCATGAGCTTGGCAGCTTGAGATGTCGTCGCCAGTGCCATGATTCAATGGCAGACTCTGATCTCAAATAGGACAAACATTGTGGTGTTTTATATAGCAAAATATAAATTGTCAACTAGCCAATAACCATGTTAATATAGAATGCCCCATCAGTGTTATGTTTGATCTTCTGACTCATCTAACACTCTACTGTGCTACACACACACACAAAAAAAAAATTACTGGTGAGTACAGGATGTGAAGACCAGCAAAGGGGCCTAGAACTGTCTTAGTCTATTTGGTCTGAACACCATAGACTGGATGGCTTACAAATAACAGAAATTTATTGCTCACAGTTCTGAAGGATGGAAGTTCAAGATCCAGGCACTGTCAGATTCAATGTCTGGTGAGGGCCCACTTCCTGGTTCATCTGTGTCCTCACATAATGGAGCTCTCCAAGGTCCCTGCTATAAGGGCACAATCCCATTCATGAGGGCCCCACCCTTATGACCAAATCATTTCCCTAAGGCTCCACCTTGTCATGTATCAATGTAATCCTTGGAGGATTTCAGCATGTAAATTTGGGGAGAACACATTTAGCCTATAAGCAGATGTCAATGGGAAAGGGTATTAAATGAGAAGAAAGAGGTAGATTTGCAAGCAATTCTTATTTCTGCACAATTTGTTACTACCTTGAGCATGTTTTGTTGGTGGTGGTGAAAGTGGTTTTTATGGTGACTGTTCACATTTCATAAGAAAGAAATCCCATACTTTAGAATGTCCTACTGGAATAGGTTAATCCAGAAGAACTTATTTTATTCTAGGATGAGGAGCCACATGTGTGGAGGTCATGCCACTCGCTTTTTGTGGGATGCCCATCCTATAAATGTAGAAAAAAATATAAATAAGTAATTAAATATTTAAAAAATTACATTTCCAATTTGTATAGCTCACCTCTGAAGAGTAGTAACTGGAATTGTGTAAAACAAAAATAACATTAGTTGGAGTGTCAAAAAATCCATTATGAACAAGGAAACTGGGGTTTTAAACAGGTTTTAAAATCTGAAGCGAAAAACCCAGTTTTTAAAATCTGAAGCAAAAAACAACCATTGTTAACAAGATGTTTGCAGCTTGAAACTCTTGAATAACAAAAGACCTCAAGGCATGATAGAGTGCCTTTATTTGGGGGGCCATCTTGATAACCAGATTAATTCTTAAGGGGAGCAGGGGGGGAAGGTGTAAACTCTTTGGGAATTGGCACATACTGTTACCCAATTGGTCCACATGGCTAACGTTTTTACACTGTTATGCAATGTTGGCATTTTTGAAATGGCAGCTTACCATTATTATTAAAATTTCATTTCTAAATACTTCTAAAAATACGTACCAAATCTATTAGTCTTCCTCCAATATACGGGGTTTAAAACCCTTTAAAAGAACTTGGTCTTGTCATCTTTTTTTTTTTTTTTTCTGATTCACTTGCCTTAGCCTCCCAAGTAGCTGGGACTATAGGCACCCACAATGCCCAGCTATTTTTTTGTTGCAGTTTGGCCGGGGCCGGGTTCGAACCTGCCACCCTCAGTTTATGGGGCCGGCACCCTCCTCACTGAGCCACAGGTGCCACCTGGTCTTGTCATGTTTGATGGGACCATTTTAAGAGAGGACAGGTTGTTCTTCCTTATATTGCTTAGTAAATTAATATGCTGGCCGTTGCTGGAATTTTTGTTTATCTGTAAGTGTTCTTTCCATGTGATGCTAACTGTAATCACAGTTTGTATCTATCAAAACCTAATCAATGTTATAAAACGTGTGTTTGGATCACATTTCTTTATACAAGCACAAGCAACAAGTTTTCTCTTGTTGTGGTCTTATGCCTCAGCTAAAATTTAAAACATCTGCTTTTGACGCTGGAGTTTTCTGTCTGAGTATCTTCGAGCATGTCCTCAGAAGTTCTATGCCGTCACAACAGGTTGTAATGTGGAAGGTGAAAGATTACCAGGCAATAACCAAGGTGGTAATAAATATGTCACTTAAGATGCAGTCATTATAATTTCTCTTTAGAGGTCCTTAATTGGGGTAGTGAACAATCAGGCCATGAGTTCCACCCCTGTTGCACGTGAGACCTATTTAGACTGCATAAAATTGTTGTGGCTCTCCCACTGAGTTCACAGCCGGTCTCAATAGCCCCATTCCAAAGTCTGACAATGGGAATCTAAATTCAGCATGTAAGAACATGTCCATGAAACAGCACCTCAGGGATCCAAAATTGCAGTTGTTCCATCTTGTATTATCCTCAAATTGCTGATACGGCAAACAGCCACACTCTTTAAGGAATAAAAATACCTGCTTGTAAATTAGAATGTTAGAGAGCTATGAAGTTCTATTGTACAGTGACCTGAAATTCATACAGAAAAATAATATGTCTTAAAATTTATTCCCAAGTCTCTACAGAAGAAATGAGAGTATAAATTTGAATATATAATGCCTTTACACTAACACATTTTTAGCATATAAAAGTTACAATTCACACATACATATAGACACACACATAGCACATGCTTACACCATAAGTATACTGACTTAGAGATTTACAAAAACCCTTACTGCCTCTTTCTCTTTTATAGTTAAAGAAGGAATTTCAGGGCAGCATCTGTGGCTCAAAAGGGTAGGATGCAGGCTTCATATGCTGGAGGTGGTGGGTTCAAACCCAGCCCCAGTCAAAAAAAAAAGGGAATTTCAGTTTCCTGGGTCATAAGTCCAGTGTTACACCTGCACTAATGTGTGTGGGTGCCTATGTTTCAATTTTAGACTTTCTTGTACTTAGGACCACATGATTAACATTGTTGTAATAATTAATACAATATATATACAAACGATAATTTTCTCATCATTCAATACTGGGAATCCTGTAGTATTTTGTCCAGTGCTGCGTCTTTGTGTTTGAATGGTGAACGTGCTAATGCTGTTTAAGGCTTACCAATCAGACTAATGACTAAAGTTCAAAATCTTTATACTACTGATGCTTTTGTGGCTTGAACTGCTTTTCGAATACATGTGACCTTTTCGATGAATTTCTATAAATCACTAAGAAGATAAGCCACTAATTTTTTTAGTCAGGAAAGGAAATCATTTTTTATTTTACTTTACAACATTACTTTTTAAATCCCTCTTACCTAGTTGGAAATTTTACTTTTCAAGTTGTATTACGCAAAAATTATTTTGAATGTTTGATCCTATCTTCTGTCATAAGGGGAGGGAACTTTTTAGAATAATGAAGTTTCAGGTTTTCTCAAAATGCTAGGGCTTAGTATACTTTTCTTTAGATAATTGGGCAAAATACTAAAGAATAGAAAGCTATTAACAGCAATCCCATTAATCTTAATAGTGAAAAAGGAAAACGAGTAGAATAAATGCTGACATTTTCCTTTTTTTTTTTCTTTTAATAGTTGTCCAAGTATGGTGCAAACTGGTGGATTGGACTCCAAGAAGAAAGAGCCAATGATGAATTTCGGTATGAACCTAGATTAATTTACATTTAATTTTGTTTGATAGGTTTTAAATGCAGAATGATTGGATTCAATTTTAGTAATCAATTTGTTGAGTAGTCTCCAAATGTCATCATTAATGTATAAATTTTCATTTCCTTAACTAAAGACATGAGTGTTTTAAGTGTATACCCATGGAACCATCACCACAAAGTATGCCATGAATATATCCATTACCTTCAAAAGTTTCCTCCTACCCTATTTACTCATTCATTTATTTTTTATGGTGATAACACTTAACATAAAATCTACCCTCTTAAGCACATTTTAAGAGTACGATACAGTATTGTTAACTACAGGCACTGTTTTACACATGAGTATTTTTATTAATTTAATAAAATATTACGCCTTTAATTCATACCTCGAAACTCTAAGAATGGTATTAGAAATTGAACATGCATAAAGAAAGATGGAGACTTTACCTCCTTCATGTTTATATGGATGGAATTAGAAAATGTTCTTCTCAGCAAAGTATCTCAAGAATGGAAGAAAAAGTATCCAATGTACACAGCCCTATTTTGAAACTAATTCGTAGCTTTTATCGGAATGTCACAACCTAATTATAGCCTTAGACTATGGGAGGGCAGTGGGAGAGGGGAGGAGAGGGGGGTGGATGGGGGAGGAAGGGTGATTGGTGGGGTCACCTCTATGTTTTATCTTACAAGGGTACAAGTGAATCTTTCTAAAAGCAGAGTATGAATGTCTTAACT